AGTGTTACTAATTACGGAGCCCGAGTAATTATACTCGATCGAAGCCAATTTATTTTGTAAATTCTGCCCATTAATGTAGCAAGCGTAACGAATCATTTATCAATTTCAATATTCTTGTTATATTCGACGGTTAAAAATATTTTCGCGACAGTAAAAATTATTACTTAGATCGCGATTTTTTAATATTATTCATGAATCCATTTTTATCTTTGCCCAACGTTGACAAGGATTAATCTCATTTCCAGCTTTCTGAATAATTTCACGATATTCTTATGCCCAGATAAATTAAGAGTACATGTATAAAACATATGCGCATATTTATCATAATTTCGACTCGAACGCTCGTTTCCCTTCATTTTCGAACATTAAAACATAATTATGTAACATCGATCATCGATCAATCTACACTGTTCCACATCCAGTATTTCACAATTCTTCCCTTTAAAATCGCTTGTATCAACTTAACCTTACAAACTTTCCTTCTTCAAACTTAACCTTCAATTCAAATTCTTTACACTTAACCTACAAACATTAATTCACATTTCTACTAATTGGAAAGCAGTCACGACAATAGTATCATTTTCCTTTCGCCGTATACGTGATTCGATCGCGTATATGTTATGTATTAATATTAATAAAAAAAAATGTGTTGCAACGATAAATAAAAGGAAGAGGGAAAAGAGACATAGAGAGTTTGCACGGTTAACAGTCTGTTACTCGCGTCGGATCATGTAATTGTCGTTCTACGCAGAATCGATTTGCACGCGCCTAACAGCCCTTTTTCCTTCCTTCCCATTCGATTCCTCGGCGTCATTACGCATTTTACGTCTCTCGCGCCTGGAAAACCGCCATCGGAGGCTATAAAATTTTTATGCCGCTTCGCTGGCGTATTTTTTTTTTTTTTTTTATTAAGCTCGGTCTTCTAAGGCTATGTGCAACCGCAATCACGAGATCGCGAATTGGTTGATTTTATGGGTATAAATATTCAAAAGGAATCCAAGAAAGCGTTCGTAAAATCGTAAATTGTTTAATTACATTCTCACGAATCGATATCATTAGCGTATTATAAGTTGTGCTATTTCATAATGATTTAATTTTCTCTTCATGGAAATCGTATCGAATCGAATTGTATTTAATTTTTAACCTCAAATTCCGAAAGATATAAATTACTTGTGAAGCTTATTTCAATAATCGGATGATAGTTACTATAATACATCGAGGTTGGCCCATAAAAAGCCACGTATTTGAAATAGTCAGAGAGAAATAAAAGGTCTATCGAAAACATACGTGTCAAGTGGAAATGCATAAGTATGTATACGTATACATTCGTGGGACAAACATGTGCATAGCTGTCGTGCCACAGCGGTGCTTGTACCTCGAGGAGGTCCTGTCAGAAGGCAGCTGTCACGTCTCTTCTCCGTCTCTAGCCTCGAGGAAAGACTCTCCATGGGGTCCACAAACAGCAGTTGGTTACGTCTTTGAATAACACCGGTGAAATCAAGTCTTCGTGTTAATTACCGGTTGGTCACAATTTGAAATTGTTATTGAGATAGGAAAGTTTTTGTATTC